TTTCTGACAGAAAATTTCCGACGTAAAATTCTGTCGAAAATTTTTGATAAACTGGAACGACCCGTTCTCCCTCCAGAACGGCCCGTTCTGATTCTCAAATTTTGGGCCTTTAACTTATTCCAGAACGGCCCGTTTCACTTTTGAAATGGCCCGTTTTGGGCAACGAATTCGGCCTACGGCCCAATGAAAATTGGGCTGTTATAGAGTTCACATTCATATTTTGTAAATCGTAGTTCAATGCGGAAATGATGACAAAATAAAACATTAATCTTTTCAAAAAACAATAACAATAATGAAACTCCAATGCTAATCCTAACTAAGCCCCGATGTCGCATGTCCTATAAGAGCACACCCCACAATGAGACTTAAATCTCATCACCAATATCCTCATGCTGATGATCATCTGCAACATAATAAAAATACAAATAGAGCAACAAGGGAGTGAGAAACATCTCACTTTGGTTCAGATGTAGAAATAAATGTTAGGAAACACACACAATCATAATAAATACCACACAAGTTACACATAACTAAGCATAACTCTCAAGTTATAGATACATTAGAATACATATTCATTCACTTATCATGTAATAATGACATACAAATGTGTTAGTGTTTCAGATAAAAATATAAGTACAGCAAGTTGAAGAATAGAGAATATGCATGTACCACCCTCTATACCAGACAAAGCCATTGAGAATATGCATGTACCACCCTCTATACCAGACAAAGCCATTCACAAACTACAAACCTTACATTACAGTAAATACAATACTTCCTTTCCAACACAACGCAAAATAAAGAATAAAGCACGAGCAACCAAGGTAAAGAGTAAAAGCTGCAAGACGTCAGATTAAGAGATCAAAATGAAGCCAAGTCCAGCATAAGAAGGAAAATAAAGAAGCTTTAGATAATACAAGACCACGGACGATGGATATACACAAGACGAAAGAAGAAGTCAAATTAGACGAAAGGAAGGGTCAAACCTAATGAAAGGAAAAGTCAAAGTCTATGTCCTAGACGGAGACTCAAATTTTCAGACACAAACAAAGAATATTGAAAAATGTCTGAAGTACACTAAGTCACAACGAGAAGAACTACCTATCATCCACACTCTTAGAAGAACACATGAAGTCATCAAGATAGGAGAAGAGAGAAGAGAAAAATAGACTAGCGCTAATCCACAAGTCAAAGTTGCATGTGTCAAAGCAAGTACACCTACTAGTCAGTAAAAGACAACGCCTTTGTAGCTACAATACCAAGAAAATACATATATGCCTAAGTTATGATCGAAGTCAGACATAGAAGTAAACAAACGGTACAAAAGAGTTCACGTAACCCAGAATCACGGAGCAAACATTTAATGCAAGATCAAATGCATTAAGTACAAGATCTACGAAGCCTGGATAAACTAAACAAATCATATATTGGTTGATCAAGCATCAAGATTAGGTTTGATCAAAAACAGAAGAACAATCAACAAGCACTAGACGAGGCCTACTACAAGACGAAACCTTGAAGTATTAGATGAAAAGCCAAAATAAGGCTGAAGCTAGAACAATGCAAACATGGGTTAAACATCAGATGAAACCAGATGGTCAACTCTGACGAATGAACAATCAAGGAAAAGCACATCATGAGAATCATACATATCAAGCTAACAAAACAGACAAAGTATAATAAGTGCACCAGACGACTATGAGTTTAATAACAAACGAAGGTGTGTGAAGCACAACCTAAGATTCAACATAAAAACCCAAACAAAAGTTGGTTAAAGAACAGAAGAAATTCAACAACGCATCAGACGAAGGAAAGCACAGACTGAAAGATATTTCAGACAAAAACAAAGTCTGTCCATTCACATTATTGACCAGATCAAAAGAAAATTCAAAGCATTAAACTCAGATGCTCAGACGAAGATCAAGATTGAGATGTGTAGGATTAACAAACGAAGACAAAGAATGCCATGAAAGCAAATAAAGAATCAAGTCCCAGAGAACAAATCAAGGCATCATCTACGATCATATAAATGCTCTCAACACGATAGTGTGATCAAAGGAAGAGAAGAAAAAGAAGAAGGAAAGTACACAAAAGCAAAAGCATGCATGTGTCAGAAAAAGTACAGAACAACACTCTACAGCTACGTGACCGGAAAATAAAAAAAAGGTTCCTAGGTCTTAGCTAAGGTCAGACACAGTAGCTAACAAATAAAGAAAACTACACGCAATGTCCATGAACGGGAAGCAACATTTAATGCAAGAACATGAGCATTAAATGAGAAGATCAAACTAGTCATGAACGACTATATCTGCTTCAATGGATACTTGCAACGGGCAAATCTCTACGAGACCATATATATATCACTACTTCAAACCTTGAAAGGTTGGCTTTTGCATCTTAAACAAAAAAGTGATATCAAGCCCACAAAGCAACGAAATCAGAGATAGAGTGTATAGAGTCAAATGTACCTTAGAATATTTATCTCTATAGACTAAGTAGTTCCAAGTGCATCTTAGGAACATGAACCTTAGTGAGTGTATTCAACTTATGTATCTTCTCTATGAGAGTAAACCAAACACTCAATCGTTGTAAAAACTAAGGTTGCATACCTTAGTGAGTGTAGAAACCTTTGTATCCTCTCTATGAGAGTAACCCATACACTCAAACCAA